GCCGTGCAAGGGAAGAGGAAGTCCCGTCCTCCCCAGCCCAGCTGGGACTAGCAGCTGAGCCCAGCGCAGGGTAGGAGCCGCCAGCCAGGTCTTCCCCAGTCCTGCCCCACAGTGATTTACCTCTCTGCTGGCTGCCTTAGGCACCTGAAACATACTGCTGGGGAGGGTTGCATGACTGCTGTTGTGGCTTCCCTTTGCTTCCCCATCAGAAAGTCATTTTTTATTCTGCGCATGCACAGTGGTGCAGAATTTCCCCGGAAGTAAAGGGTGGAGCTCCACTACACTGATCCACCACTTATATAACCTAAAGCAGCCCCTAGGCTGCTGTAACTGAGGTCAGGGCCATGCTGGCACAGGATCAGAGAACTGTAACTGGCTCCCTGATTGCATCCTCCTCACCCGCTGTATTGAGAGGAGCTTGGGCACAGGAGCGTGGAGCCAATGATCGTTTTTTATAAGGATATATCTAGTTTTGCATATTCTTCACCTGGTCATATCCTCTGACATCATAATCCTTTACTGATATTTTTTAAAAAGGCCTCTTTGTGAAGTGACCTACTCCTAGAGATGAGTTTCCCAGACAGTACTGGAGAGCTCGAGGGCCTGCTTGTCCTCCATTGTAATAACTTTCCACATTGCAAAATCTTTATATTTGGGGTGTTTTTGTGGTAGGTCTTATAAATACCATTCTCAAACATGGATTCCATAGGTGTTATCACTTAAAAACATCAATTTAAATATTTTAGAGCTGATTCTGCAACCTGTACACTGACTAACACTTACTTATGTGAAAAAACCCTTAACTTCGATGGGACAATAGATAGGAGTACGTTCTACTTAGCATAAGGGCTGCAGAATTGGGCACTTAGGCCCTGATTGATTTAAGCTCTTAAACCCACGTTTTGTTTTAAGCTATCGATCTTCCTCTGGGTTTTGTGCTGGTGCCCATCACTTGTAACATTGGATCACCTTCTGTGTAGAACGGCATTTGCAGAGTCTCTCGTGGACTTTTTGGTGTCTCTGGCTCTTCTCTGTTTTGGGTCTCTAGAAATAGGGTTACCATTCGTCCGGATTCTGCTGGACATGTCCGGCTTTTTTGAGTTAAAAATAGTGTCCGGGGGGAATTTGTAAATGTCTGGATTTCTCCCCCATGCAGAGCACGCGCAGCTGACAGGGCAGCTGGCCAGATCGTGCCACTTGCACGGGGCTCTAGAGCGCCTCCTCCGCTTCCCCTTCCTCTCCCTTGCAACATGAGATCACTCCCCTCCTCTCTCTCCTTCCCCCCGCCTTACATTCGCAGATCGCCGGCCGGCCGTTCGCATCGGGCCTCCGGCAGTCTGGAGCTCCTCCCCTTGCTCCCCAGCGCGCCGCTCCGCAGCACTCTTTCTGAGTGGCACGGTAAGGGGGCCAGTGGGTCAGAGAAGGGGCAGGGAGGTTCTGGAGGGGGCAGTCAAGAGACAGGGAGCAGGGGTGGATGGGTCGGGAGT